AAGATTAGATTATTTCCAATCACATTGTACGTGTGTTGACAGTCCCCTTTCAGCAGCAACAGCAGCTTGGAAAGAGCAAGTGGCAGGGCTGGAACTGCTGTTGCCCTGAGTACTGTTTGTATAACACACTAACTGCTTATTGGCGTCCTCAAAGCAGCCTTTACATGTTTAATCCCTTGCACTTGAGCTACTCTTAATCAGCTTGAAAGCAAATTCCTGTAACAGAAAGGTTTAATTTGTGTCTGGGACTTTCTGTATTGTATTTAGCCTGCAGTGCTGTGTAGTGACACACTGGCAAGCATGTCACCCTGTGCAGCCATGGGGGTGGACCAGCGTGTGTTTATTCCAGTCACAGATTTTGAATTCATTGACGTTTCATATTGGATCAGTGCTGATGGTCTTTCAGGTTCAGCTGCTTCTGAAACACACTTTTTGCAGCAAATGCAACTGTAGTTCACTTTGGGGTTTCTCTTAGACTTTAACTCTGTTTCTATAGATTACAGCAGCACTAGCTGAAGCTCTCTGTGTTTTTAAAAGTTGTTAAAAGTTTTTGTCTCTACCAGGTTAAATCAGAATGGGATGTAGCCCCACACACAGGGAGGTTGAAATTTTGCAACACTCCAGATGACAAATTAGTTGATCAAGGAGGCGAGAACTACTAATCCCAGGTGGTTGTTCTTGTTCTTGTTAGAGGACTTTCAGCCCTTTCTTTCCTGTCTCTCGCACTCAGTCATCGTTCATCCCCGTGATATCAAGACATGTTTCACTGTCTGCTCATTTAAGAAGACCTCTCAATGGAAGAAGTCCAAAGTGTTTGGTTAGAAAATAAACAAAGTTGGCATGCTGAAAAGGGGTAGCGCTCTGCATGGTGGAGAATGGCAGATGTGATCCAGCCTTCCCATAGCATGGCTGAAACGTGAATCATTGCAAATGTCACATTTCCTGTGAAGGGACGAGCTGAACTGACATGCGTTCAGGTTTAATTAAGGTTGAATTATTGGAGCTGACTGTCAAGTCTTAGGCAAATTGGCTCAGCCTGTTATCATTAAGCATGAAAATTACTCTAGGACTTGGTAAAAATAAACACATTTTTTCCTCTAGAACGTTGTGGTGTGGTCTGGCGGGCCTGTGCTTTTGTCAGGGCAGTTGTGCTCAGCTCTGCGGGTCTGTCTCAGAAGGACTAGATTAGGAGCCCAAATGCGTACATTTCTGAAAAGATCTCAATGAAACCTGATCCAGCTTGCACAAAAGGGAATGTTCGGGTTTTTTTCCTTGGGATATTTCCATATGTGACCAGCAGTCAGCTTGGTCTATTGGAGGGAACTTGGGCATATGAGACTCCAGTTCCCTAAGGAGGCACATTCAAGAATCCTACAGAGAAACTGCAGAGTTTTAGATCCTGATCAGAATGGGCAACATCTCTCATTAAAATCATTCAAATTAACTTTCTGAGGGGTTTCAGGGAAGGTAGTGTAGAGACTTTCACGCAAATGGAAAGTCTTGACTTGGATATTTTTGTGACAGGTATCGTGATAAGGATCTTGTTAAGTAGCAAAGAAACCAGGTGATCACAGCCTTCAAAATTAATTGTTTCTTTGGTTGCACAAGGAAAATGGCCTCCAAACTGTCGGGTTTCTGGAGACCTCTGGAGAATGGTTTAGCTAGTGACTGGGCATTGGAAACAGGCACTGAACAGGTAGATGTGTTGGTAGAAGAGTGTGAAAGGAAAGCAGGAAACCAGGACATGTATGTTCTTCAGTGTCAGCGTGCGAGTCAGTCATGGGATGGCACTCCATGGAGTTAGCTGAAGTGAAGGGCCTTAAGTCCTTCCTTAGAAGTGCCTTTTTTCTAGAGTAGTGAGATAGATGGATGAGAGATATTTCCATTTGAGCATCTTCTTTCCATTTCATCCAAATCTGTTTTACCAGAGACTTAAGTGAAACACCTAGATGTGGGAGAAGTGTCCTTCTCAGAGGGTTTGACTCTGAAACATCAGGCAGGTCGCAGTGCTGGCATCACCATCTTTCTGACATTTCTTTCCATGGTTTGTTCTGCCTTTGTTCCCTTCCCTTCATCCATGGTAGTTCACCCTCAAGTCAGCCACATTAAGCAGCTTCTCTCTCTTGTACTGCATTGCAGCCGTCAAAAGGGGAAACAACAGAGTCACTAAAACACCAGGATTCGCTCACTCTCCTTTCTGTGGGGTGGCTGAGAAGGCTTGGGGATTTCGCTGTCTCTCACATGGCTTCTCCATGCTCATCCATGACTTCACACTCTATCTGTTCCTTTCCAGTGCTTCTACTTTTGCTCAACATGGCTACAGGAGGAGAGAAGATACACTCAAGCCTGTAGCTTTTCCAAATGGGGGGTAAGGGGGTAGCGTCTGAGTATTTTCATTGTTGTGGAGAATGAAACACAAAAACTGCAAAAAAAAAGTACTGCAAGCTGAGAGATGCAAGTTGGCAGCAAGAATTAGTCATGTACCCCTACTACTAACTAATACAACCAGGCTGGATGGTCAATTCAGTCAGCAAGGGAGCATGAGCTTTTGCTTTGGGAAAATTGCGAATGAGAACTAATGCTGAAACCACAGGGAATCGATAGTTGTACATAAAACTGGTCAAACAGCTGCTTTAAATGCGGGACTTTATTGATTTGGTTTGGATCTAATTGACTTTTTACTCAACTAACTTTTGTGGTGCCAGTGTGTTTTGAATATACTCCATTAGTCTACATTGCTTTTAATTACACAATACAAGGTTTAACTCTGTAGGAGGAGGTCTGTTGGGTGGAAAGAGCTAATAGGCTCTCAGGAAACCTATGGTCAGGAATGAAACCCAATTGCTTTTAATGAGTAGCTTCTGAAAAACAGTGGGCTCTACAGCTGTGAATACGCTTCCTCCAAAATGCCCAGCATGGGGACCCATGGTTTGACTAGTCAATGACAATTTTTCAATTGTTAGTAATAAAACCTGAGGAAAATTTACCAACATAGGTGGCATTATAAAAATATAAGGGTGCACAAGAACAATGAGAATTTGATTTTAGAAATAAATTCTTTGTTACTACAAATAACAAGGCTAGTTACATCTTCAAAACTAGGGTACCAGTGATGCATGAACTCACATTTGAAACTCACTGAAACAAGCAGTAGCCTTTTATTTGTTGTAGGGAATAACTTGGGACTTGCGGACGGTGTGTCAAACCTGTAAAGATGTGTAAGGTGGTAAAAAGGACAGGATTTCTCCTGCTTCTTTCCAGCCAAAGCACTGGTGTTTGGAAACGTATCTGTTCCTGTTATTCGTGAGTTGGAGGCTACAAGTCCTCACCCATCTTCAGCTGATAGAGTTCTTATGTTTCCGTTTGTTCTCTTTTCACATTCTGAATATAGATACGGGCTGATTGACTGATGGATGGGTGAAGGTAATGGTGAGAGTGCAAACAGAGCCAGAAGCAGTGTGGGGAGCTGCCTTTTATCTCAAGGAAGGAGATGCCATCACCCCATGGGCATTTTCTGTAGAGAAAATGAGCTAGTGTGCTGGTAGCTGTGATTCATCACTGTCCTCCTCTCATCTAACGCTGGCACGGTGATGCTCAAGTGGTCAAAGCCGCTCAGGGAGGACTTGCATAGGCCGTGTTCCCAAACGCCTGGTTCGAGCGTCTGCATGGCCAGAATTAGCTCGTGGTGTGTGTTATTTCCACACCTCCCACATCAGGAACTGGATCAGCCCTTTGATGAGATGGGAAAATTTCAAAGGGGGAATTTGTTCGTGAGGGTGTTGGGGGCATGTTAAGGAGTGTAGGTAGCATCTCTTGCATGGCTGCAAGCCAGCTAAACGCAAACAGCCCCCAGCACGTTCTGGTGGATAATAACGCATATATCCTAAAAGTCACAAGTGCTGTGTGTGTACGGTGGGGTGTGTGCATGTGAAACACATGGACAGCACTAGTTCTCATAACCTGGGAACAGCTTTTCTTGTGAGTATATGTGCGCTCAGGGATATATACAGACCATGTCAAAAAGGGAGTTACAGTGGGAGTTGAATCACGTTCATCTTGGTCCTTTTGACTGTATTCGACCTTTTGGATACTGCTTGATCTGAAATACCTCTCCTTTCCTCCCTTTTCCCATTTCCTTTCCAGCCTTTGAACCCTTTGGGCTGCTTTGTTTAGCTTAATGTGGAGAAAAGGAAGTACTTGGCATTGTAGAAGGAGTAATTCTGTATGGAATTCTCACCGTAGGTGCATTTTGCGAGGTCGTAGCATTCCTGGTCGTTTGGATAGGCCATGCATACAGGTGTGTGCAATACTTTGGGTGAGCAGGTCTGCACTTGGGTGCTCACTGCATTTCTGGCTGGATTTTTCCAGCTTTCTCTCTTCTGTTCTTCCACACAAGAGTGTGTCCAGGGAATGGCAATGTCACAGCTTCACTGCAGAACTGTCCTCATCCTTTGCCACTCGAAGATCCCAGGTAGCCTCCTCCCTAGGAGCCAGGTGGGGTTATCTATTGATTTGTGCATGGGTCACAGGGCGTTGTATCTGGAGTTGAGCCTAAACACAGTATAGATTGCCTGCAAAGAGCGTTGAGAAAATGAAATGTCTTAATAATCAGGCTTGTGCTCCTGAGTTCATTATCAGCCTTAAAACTTACATTGAGCAGGAAATGCTGTAGCAGTAACTTGAGACACATTCACACTCCTACTGTACGTAACCTTGGGAGTGTGTAGAAGTCACAAAGCTGTATGTTCTTTGTAGTATGCATTCATTTAAGGGCAGCCAAGTCTCTTACACACATGCTAACAAGTACTGTAGACTGGCCAGGCAAGGACAGCGGAAGGACAGACAGAGGCAGACATCCATCTTGTAGCAGCAGTGCTCCCACGATGCTCCCACGAGCTGAAACCTGACTTGTTTTTTCTCAGGTGTATGTTCTACCAAGCAGAGAAACAGGCTCAGACCTTTCAGCACGTGCTTTGTTCTTTTTCTTGTTGCTCCATAAGGTCCCACCTTGAATGACAAGCCAGAAGCGAAAGCAGCCAATGTCCCAAAGGTGTCTGGGCTAGAGCGGAGCCGGGAACTGAGCACCGACGTGCCCTTCGCCCTGCCTATCCCCAGCCCCCAGCCAGTAGCTGCCGTTGTGACTTCTACTTCCTCAGCGCCCACATCGAGTGCCCGAGCAAGCCCACTGTTGAAGAAGGAGCCAGTGATTTCAGCACCAGCACCACCAAGGCTCACGCCTCAGCCACAGCCTCGGCCACAGTCACAACCTCAACCTCGGCCGCAGTCGCAGCCTCAGTTAATACCTGAGCTTCGGACCCAGCCTCCGAGTCACATCCCTCCGCCTCTCAACTACCAAGTGCATCACCAGGTGGCCCACAACGGACTCAATAATATCAGGTATGGGAAAGGGACACTCGTGTCATCTTGATGCAACTGACGGGGCGGTTGTTTCAAAAGGGATAGAAATTGCTGGGAGGCGAGATGAGTACTCTTACTGCCTGGGTGAGATGCTCCCTGTTGGTTATTGGGCTTTCTGTGCTGACTCCACAGGCCAGAATTTCCAGCAGTGGTGGATAGCTGCGTTTGAAACATGGTGATAAATGCTCTCTTTCTGGCAGAAAGGCATGTGTAGCTGTGGGCTAAAGTTCTTTCAGGTCTAGTTTCTAGTGGAGTTGTGCACTGTCTTGTCTGAGCCAGACAGTTCTTGCCTTAGAAATACAAGGAGGTTGGAGTTTGAGCAATTCCCTTGATTCACATTCAGAAAGACTTCTATTGAAGTAGAAGGTTTGTTCATGGTTATCACAGTTGTTTGATTCACCAACATCACAAGAGGGATCTCTATACCAGAAAATACTGCATCCCTTAGAACAGCTGAGAAATCTGCTTCAATCTGACTTGGTCAGATGTAGCAGGAGGCTTAGCTTCAGTGTTTAAATTGCCTCCGTCCGGTAAGTAGGATGGATGAAAATGGTACAAGAAAAGCGTTTAGCCAGTCAACTGGCATGTGCATAGTCTTTTTGTTGGTGCAGAAAACATGCCTTGCCTCCCAGTCAAGAACTAGGCTAGTTAAACAAGATGAAAAGCATAGTATTTGGCTGCATAAGGGTCAAAATATGAATACAGAGAGCTGCCATTAATGCGTTTCATGGTATCCTGCATACTTAAGCTCTCTTGTGGTTTTACCCTATAAATGCCACCCTACTATAAATGATTAATAATATTTCAAAATATTCAAGACATCTCAGAAGTTTAGATTGCAACAAGTATTGGTATTGTGGGAATTATGCTAAATAGTAACTGCAGCAATACTGTCTTCCACCCCACAAAACTTAAATCACTTGCAGTGGAGTAGTAAAAATAATAGAAAAAGATGTAAAATACAGGATTCTTATGGGAATACTTTATTAACATGGTATGTGTTTGCCTGCCTGTGTGAATATAGCTACACCGCATGCACAGCAGATACAGCTTGGTCCCAGAGACACTCACACTGTGGAACTCTGTGCACCCAGAGTAACAGAAAAAGGAATTAGAGTAATTGTGTCTTGTGACCACAAGGACGCACATGGCCACTGCAAGGTCTTCAGAGGCCAAATAAAGGTGCAAAATCCAGCTGCCTCTGTGGCCTCTATCAGTATCTCGTAGATAGCTCTGAGGATTGTAATTTGCTCAAGTACCAGAAGAAGCGTCGCTCCAGAGAGCCCAAGCCCTGTCCTGCCCTGTTGCACAAGTTCGTTAAGATGTGTTACTCTCTCCACTGCTATTAAAAAAAAAAAAAACATGAGATCCATGTTGCATAGTTGTGTTGTTTCTGGTAAAGTGTATTTCTCACACTGTTTCAACCTTGTATTGTAACACATTTTCTCTCTCTTTCTCTTTCTCTCTGTATCTCTCCCCCTTCTTCCCCCCCCCATCTTTTTCTCTCTGCAGCCGGAGCAGCAGTGCTAGCAGTGCAACAAGCATCAGCCTCCCGAAACACCTTCCCCTCTCCCCCCAGATTCCTCCGCACCATTCCTCCGGCCCAGCTCTGCCCCTCTCCATCTCTAATCTTGCTACCTCGCACTTCTCTCTCAGATCGCAGACCCAACACCAGCACCATCCGGCCATGTTCGCCACCCCACCCACGCTGCCACCTCCACCAGCGTTACCTACCAACAGCCTCGTGATACCAGGTCACCCTGCGGGTAGGTTCCCTTCTTCTTCCAGGGCTGATCTGCCGTGCATGCACTGGAGGGTGTTGAGAGATGGGCTGGCTGGTGGGCAGGGAAAATAAAGTGATGCAGACCCTTCCGCACGCAGTGTGCGCTGGAACTGTGAGAGTGCTCCTGAAACAGGTAGGAGACCTGGACATGCTTTACCAGATGAGAGATTGTAGAGACAGCACTGTAGCTTCCTATAAGAAGTCTTGGAAACAAATTATTGCCAAAAGAAGTCCTTTTCAGGGCATAAATTGTCTAGTGTGGCATTCCACAGTCTTCAGACATTTTTTAGATTAACAAAGGACTGATGCACGGTTCACCATTCTCCCCTTCTTCCTCCCCACTTGAATGAAAGCTGCTGCTGTTAGAACTGACTGGAAAAAAATGTTTCTAATCATCACAGAAGGTTGTTCTAACACACCACCTATCCACTGCTCTGATCCTTAGACAAGCAGGATCCTCTGCCTGCAACAGCACAGGCTGTCTGTGTGCCCATGGCCTTTCTGTCTGAGACACAGCGCAGTGGACAAGCTCTGCTGTTCAGATCTTCGCATCCTTTAAAAAAGCTTCTTTTGTTCGCCATGGCCTCCATTCTGTTGTCACTTCTGCCCTAAATGCCCTGTTTATAGCTTATCCATTAGCCTACAGCTGTCCCTGGAAGAGACCCTGGCAGCTGGAGACTTCCCTGCAACTTTCACTGGCTGGGGCCTCCTTTTGATCTGGCATTTGACTCCACAACTAACTCAGCAGGGATTAAACAGGACAAGCATTTTGCAAAAAACGCACCCTCTGTTTCCTGTGAAGCCAGTTAAAGGAATAAGGAGAGGGCAGATTTGCTGTGGAAAAATCTGATGGCCTTGCATCCCCATTTTTCTTCCTTCCAGGAGCTGAATAATGTCCCATTATTTATAACTGCTCCTTTAAAGGAGAGAAAAATGTGAATTGCTCCAAAGTGAGCTCTCAGAACGATGATAGACAAAAGTGCCGTGGGTTCCTAGCCAGAAGCAGGACCACATAGGCCAAAACTGCAGGCTTTCACAGGCCCTGGCACCATCTAGAATTTCAACCACATGGCTGGGAAGATGTTGGCAGCACTGTGGGAGACCTATTCATTACTTCCCCTATTTAAGGCAAAGGACTACTGTGATGGAGACTTTGAAAGTATTGCAAAAGGAAATAGCAATGTGCTCACTAAAAGCATGATATTGCAGTCACTGAAAGCAAGTATGTTTTCACCATTAACTTCAGGAGGTGCAAGATCAAGTGCCCTATTCACATTCAGCAGCTTGCCAGGAAACAGTAACAGTCTTGCTCCTACTAAAAGGATTTCTCCGGCAATTTAAGCAGGAGAAGCCTAAGTTAGTGGAGGGAAAGGTCTGGGCGTCTAACCCTGCAGACAGTGAAATGCCTCTTGTCTGCATTATGTGAAATGCCTGCAAACTGGCACATCATAAAATCGATACAGAGCACTGCATAGCCAGGAGCTTCTGTTGTCATCCACATAAAAGTTTCTTAAAAGCAACCAATATTGCTGAGCAGCCCTGAAGAGCTCGTATCCAACTTGCTGTGCCGTTCGAGTGCATGTGCGCTCTCAGTAAAAGCACCAGCTTAGAAAAACCATCAGAGAGGGTATGGCCCTTTGAAGTCTCCCTTTTGTCATCTTTTTCTCCCCTCTCTTTGGAGGAAAATGCACTTTTCCTTTAAATTTACTTTGGCACGCTTGTCACCGTTGCCGAGGAGCAGAGCCCAGGGCTCCTGCGTTCACTGATGGTACAGGTGTCTGAATAACAAGAATGCACTTCTGGTGGCATTTCTCTTTGAAACCTAAAGCTTATACAAGTAACTTAGGAGCAACCCTCATGTGGGCTGCTGCCCTCACTCAAGGGCACCACGGCTGGCCTGATGTAGGATACACAGAGGCAACCGCGGCCTTTGTGCCTTCTCTTCTGAGCACGAGGGTAGCTTGCAGCATCAGCAGGACTGGCCTTTCCCTGCCCTGCTCACCTCACGTGCACAGGCAGAGCAGTAGTGTTGGGGCGTTCAGAGGGCTGCTCCGTTACTCTGCTCCTGGTTGCAGTGTTACCTGGCCAGACCTGTGGGAGGAGGCGCCACTGCAGGCGTAAGAGCTTAGTTCTGATCCCAGCATCGCCCAGTCCATCACAAAGCTGGGTTATTTCTCGGCAGTCCCATCCTTACTGTGAAGCAGCCACTCCTCCAAGTGCCACACCGCTTCTCCAAACATCTCTGGGCCTTTTCTTTTCCTGACAAAAGCCAAAGCTGTGGTACAGGGCTATGGGCTGGAGCCAGCTGCAAATCTATCAGTCTGACTTTAAGTCTCTTAAAGAAATTGGATATCAGAGCACTTACAACTGCCAACTCGCTTTTCTCTCTCCCTCCAGAAAAGTGGATTATCTTGATGCTAACAGAAGGATTCAGTTTCTTTAAGTCATGCCAGATTTAAACGCATAAACACACACACACATGAAATCATATTCATATTCTCTAAAGAGGTTGAGTTTTGGACCTAAGTGCTCTCAGCCTATAGTTTTTTTTCTTGTTTGCTTGCTCCAAGGAGAACCCACTATAGACTCTTTTGCTCCAGTGCCTTGGCCTTCAGTATCACAAGTATATGTACTTTCTGCTTTTGTACTAATTATTCTAAAGATTGTAGCAGTACACAGTACCTGCTCTTAGCAGTACAGTTATTACTGCAAAGAAAATTACTTAAGCACCCAAGATTTGCTTTCAAAAGCGACTTTTAATAGGATATAGGCTTCTGAGTGGTAGTAGAGACCTTGAAATTCCCCATCAGAGCGCCTGTTTTTAAAGACCCTGACCATGCCACTTGAGGAAGTGGTTGATTTAGGCATCTCTAATGTTAATTTAAAAAAAAAAAAAAAAAGTAAAAGAAATGCCTGCAGAACATGAAATAAAACTTTAAAGCGCACGCATTCTTTTGCCCCTGTATATTCACTGCTGTAGCTTAAAAAGGGATGTTTGCACTAAAAAGTTCACAGAAGTCCAGTAGCAAGTAGGTCAGTGGGGAGTGGGTGTGTGTCATCCCCAGCTGATGGCACAGGGTGCTCTCAGCTCAGAAAACATCTGACACGCTGGGTGCCAATTCCTGTTTGAAGTTCTTAGGCAAAATCTAGGTGGATTTAATTGAGACCAGCAGACGTTTACGGCAAAGTGGACCTTTGTCCTTATTGTCTTCAGTCGCATCATTTCTAAAGTGCTGGTGCCTTCCACTGCCCTAAACCACATCCAGATTCAGTGCAAGTTGGTTCTTCCGGAGGATGATGCTGAGGAGAGGCCACATGTCGTATGGTGGAACATTTTGTTCTCTGCCGTCATTGCAACCTTCGTGAGATCTTGAGCCAGTTCAGTGTTTCTCCTCTTCCCACTGATTCCTCCTCTGTATAGGAGAAAACCCTGGAGGCAAAGAGAAAAAATGATAATTTGTAGCCTGTTAAAAATTGAGGAAAGGACTGTTTAGTGTTTAAAATCTCAAAAAAAGCTTACTTGCAAAGAAGGCTTCAATTTGTAGGGTGGATGGTGCTGGTCACTGTGTACATGTCCTGGGGCTGAGGAGGGTGAGGGTGGCACACTGCTGAGAAATGGCCATCTGAGCAGGTACTTTCCAGCCACCCAAATCCACGGTTATCCCACTGCGTTGTAGATCTTGTCAAAATTTTACCTGTTGAGCACATACACGTTAGAATGTAACACAGGTGCTAGGACTACCATCCATTTTCAGTGCACATGTATGCTTCTGTGTTGCAAACCTCCAAAGGAAACAGGTCAGTATATCCCATTTTAAAGCGAGACGTTGTCCTCGAGGGCGCTCCCCAGCATCTTGCTGGTGCGGGAAGGTCGGGCCACCGGGCCGGGAGACCAGAGCGCCGAGGTCAGCTCCCAGAGACGCCTCGGTGCCGGGGAGGAGGAGTAGCCCGTCGGGCGGGGGTAGCGGGGCCGCGGGCGGGATGTTTTCTGCTGTGATGACTCATGGTGTTCTCTCTTGTCTTTAGATACCAGCCTGTTGATATCATTCAACCAACCAATCATGTATTGCCAGCCTCATTCGGGGATTCTGATTGGTACTTTGTCACAGGCATCTCTCTTACCTCCACCAATGAGTCCTCACGTAGAAAACCACCACAGCATGACCTGCAGAAACAGGGAATGCCAGGTGAATATTGATTCTTTCTCCTCCGTCTTTGTGGTACTCACAGGCCCACGGGCCTCTGTGTCTTTTTTTTTTCTCTCTCTCTCTCCTCTAGATCACGAACTGCTCAGGCAAGAGCTGAACAACCGGTTTTTGGTTCAGAGTTCGGACCGGGCCGCTGCCTCACTTGGCCCGGTGCCGCTGCTGAGAGCGGAGTTTCACCAGCACCAACACACGCATCAGCACCAACACACCCACCAGCACACATTCACTCCTTTTCCATCCAGCTTGCCCCAGACGCCGCTCATGCCGCCCTCTGCACCTCCCATGGTGCGTACCCCAGCCCAAAATGTGAGGATAAGTAGAGCATCTCTGGTCAAAAAGCCTAACCCACTCTTGTCAAACAAAACGCAGTCCTCTTCATTTCAGCCAGGCGTGCTGTCCCTGCCCCTCCGACCCGGAGGCCTGGAGAGACTGGCCCAGCATTCTGAAGGGACCCTCTTTCCATCCAGAGCCTCCACAATGAGCCTCCAGGCCCCCCCACGCTGCTACCCATGAGCAGACACCGCACCCATGAGACAAGTCCAGAGCCCCTTCAGCTTCTCTTTTTGTGTGTCCTGCTGTGTGTTTCTATTGCCCCTTCCACAGAGCCAGGTGCTGTGACACACCAAAACACACTGACAAGGACACCGTGAGATTGGTGGCCTCCAGTCCCAAACGCAGACCCCACAACTGGTCGTGGTGGGGCAGACCGTACTGGCTTACCCAGTGCTCTCACCACAGTGCAGCATCTCATCCGATATGAGTTTTGTCCCTCTTCCTCCCAATTCCCTAATCTATATCAATTTTGGCATTTATTACTGGATAACACCAAGAAGCACTGATTTGTGTGTGGCTGGTTCTTTGGGAGAGATCCTCCTGCCCGTGTAATAGGTGCTAGCATTTGGCCATTGGGTTTGCATGTAACACAATGGGGCTTCGCTGCAGCTGTTACAAAATCGTTAGAGATCTACAAATGGATTTTGTCAGGACTTTAAAACGCACTCTCTTCCCATTCCTGGCAATTACTTGGTGAGATTGAAAGAACAAGATTCAGCCTTTTTTCCCCTCTCAGTTTCACAGCGTGTCCATAATGTAGAAGCAACTCTCTTCTGCTAAGGCGGGCAAAAGTGAGGAGTAACAGCAAAAGCAGCATTTGGGAAGAAATACCGAGAACTCAAGGAGCTTAATGTGTCTCACTTTTCTTTCCCACTGCTGACTGCCCGATGACATTCTTGGGCTGTAATCTGCTTAGCAGCCAGACAATTAAAAGTAATACCATCCACCCAAAATCCAGCCCCAGGTGTTTGCTCAATGTACTCGTGTGTAAACACCTTCCCTTCTTTTCTGGGTCTGTGTAAAAAAAATCTTGAAACTTCTCAGCAACCTCCTGTGTTATTTAAGAATCCTGATACCTGATCCTGCGAGCAGCTCCCTCCCCTCCCGCCCGTGCCCGTTGATGTCAGCCGTCATAGCAAAAACAGCTTGCAAGGCTCTTTTGTTAAATTTCGCTCACATCTTCTTATATTCCACTAGATCAGGTCTGCTAATCCCAACACCAGAGAAGAGTGTTGAAATTTACAGCTGCATGTGTTTGGTAATTTATGGTATTTACACTGGAGGGGACATGGCTCCAGTAATAACTGTAATTAATGAAATTACAAATCTACTCTCCTGCACATAGAGGAGAGTGAAACAGCGGCTGACTTGCCAAATAAGCAGCTTTTCGTGGGGTCCTACAGCTCCCTTCCCTGCCTTCTTCCCCGCGCTATCTGCCCCAGCAGAATGTACATACTGTTCAAAAACGCAATGTCTGTATGCTTTGGTTTCGCTTCCAGTGTGGTGCGGGACAAATGGTCATAAAAACAAACGCGGGGCGCAGGCTGCACACATGGAGGTCTTAAAGCCCCGTGTGGAACAGGAGAGGTTAACAGTCGGCTTTTCTCTGGGGCGCTCTCTCCTTTGCAGGGGAGAGGGAATATGTAGAGATTTGTGCATCTAAGGCACAGTTGTTTTCCAAACCATTTTGGCACTTGCAGGAACCCAGAAGAAGGGAATGAGTATTGGTTGCCCCACAGTAGGCATTGGGGTCTAATGGAGAACATTCCCTACCTTCTGGTCTGTGCTCTAGTTCAGTGCTGCAGGGGCACATCCCAGATGTGGGCCTGGAGCTGAGCTGGCCTGCATTGTGCTGCAGATATCCAGACGGCTCTTCACATCGTGCCTGCAAGCTGGGTTCTGCAGGGAGGCTCAGCAGCACCCGGCGCAGCCTGGGGGCTGCTGCTTTTCCATCTCCATTAGCTTTGGGAAATCAGTCAGCTCCCTGATGAGCGAGTGTGGAATACCCAGGCAGTTCTGCGCTGTCACATGCTGTACAAACGGGCCGTGATTATTTGTCTGTGTTGAAATCCTGATGTGTCCGCTGCCGCTGAAACCAAACTCACCTGTTGCCTTTTTTTCTCTTTTTCTTTCCAGTTTGACAAGTACGCTCCCAAATTAGACAACCCTTACTTTCGACATTCCAACGTGAGTGCTCACCTTCCTAGGTGGTGTCTTTGTTAATGGTTCTGCTTGCACTTCTGCTTGTTTGCGATCGATCGATAGTGGTTTGATTCATTCATTCCTAAAGCTCTTTTTCCGTCTTGGTTTAGTTTGGTTTTTTTTTTTAAGGTACAAAATTTTCTTTGGGCTTTTTTTTTTAATCTTTGTCTACTGCATTTTTGCTGCTGCGGCTCTACACTGCTGTGCCTGGGATGGCAGGGAATGCGCAGAAATTGCTAAATCAGTGGTCACTGCAGTATCTTTGCAGCTGGTGCTTCTCACAGTGCAGCAGCCTGGAGTGCATGGCTCTTTCTCAAGATTTTGCTCAGGTCACAGGAGTAAGTCAGACTGGTGGTTTCTTCCTGGTGCTCCCCACTGCTCCAAAGCACAAAACCTCTATGTTTTGGGACTTTTAAAACTGCTGTATGTGCTCAGGAGAGGCCTAAGCAAAACTTAACCCGACTTACACAACTACAAGGTGGTGTGCATGTTGCCTGTGGTTAGTGTGCAATGCAGCATCTTGTGGTTCTTTTTTTGCTTTGAAAATTAAAGCAGGTTACATTTCAAAACAGGGTCAATTTGTTTGCTGCTGCAGAAAAATGCAAAGTTAACCCAACAGTGAACATAAAACCCAAACTATTCACATTCCTCTAAAAACGGTGAATGCTCTGTGCTTCCTGCAATAGTCCACAAATTGTAAAGTCACACTTGTTCAGCACTATCTAGAAAATTCATCAGATAAGCGCATTTTCCAAGTTTTGGCTTTGCTCTTAAAAATTCTGAAAGCAAATTTAGTGTGTGTTTTCACTGTGGCACTCATTCAACACAGTACTATTTTTGTACGTGCCAGGCTTGGCACCTACCTCCATCATTGTTCAAGTTGTCCTGTGACATAAGCATCTCTCTTTCTTTTGTAGTTCTTTCCAACCTATCCTCCAGCAATGCCTGGAATGCCACCCATGCTTCCACATTCAGGTCCCTTTGGGTCACTTCAGGGAGCATTTCAACCGAAGGTACAAACTTCTTCTTCTGAAGGCTTTGTTCTTTTGCTGAGAGAGAAACTGTGTTCAGAGTCGTGTCTCTGGTGGTTTTGTAGCACATGATTTAACTAGCAGGAGTGCAGCACGGGGTTGGAAGTGATCACCCCGCAAACCTGTGAACATCCTCTGCACAAAGCAGCCAACACTTGAGCAGAACTTTTCCCTTGGCACTACAGATCGTTCCTTGGAAAAGGGTATAGCGGTTCGCTCGGGAGGTCAGCTCAAACTGAAGGAGAAGCATACAGTCAAATGCATTATTTGATTGAAATATTTACATATTTGATTGAAATAGACCAGTGAGTCCCAAATCATTTTATAAATGTAACGGTCTGAGATTGCAAAATATAAACTGTGTGTATTCCCAGAAAAAAGGAGTAATTGACTGTACAAGTGTGGGAACAATAGGGAGAGACTGCTGTAAGTGGGAAGAGCAATTTGAAGGAGCTGAATTTTTATTCCCAGCTCCGACACTGTCTGACCTTGGGCAAGTCGCTTAAATCTTCTGTTCCTCAGCTTCCTCATCTCTAAAGTTATCTTGCAGTGGGTTTCATAGGGGTTGATTAATGCCTGCAAGGTTCCTTGAGACAGTGTCTTTGAAAGGTGCACTGCAAGTGTAACGTGTCATTGCAGCTAGCACTGATCGGCATTTGGAGATGTTGCCGTGATAACTACCATTTTTGACAAATTCTGTGGTGTGCACTGCTTTTTTTTTTTCCCCTCCCAGACTTGTTCCCTTTATTAATTATTTTTAAATGCACAGAAACTGTTAAATCTCTCCAAACAAGACAGATGCATTATATTTATTACAGCATTTGTTTGAAAATGGAGCATTTACTCCATTTGCAAGGTGACATGTTCAACTGCCTAATATACTGTGATTTTAGATATTTCTTATCTTGAACTGCATTTCCATAGAGCTCTGTGACTGTGTTGGAAGACTTGAAGGACCAGCCCTGTAGCCAGGCTGTTTCTGTTTGCATTTGGAAGGTCATTTCCGTAACCAGACCAAGCAGGGCTGTGGGCTGTGCTTCCCTCAGCAGTCCAACTGACGTCAGTGGAAGTCAGCAATTAGCAGCTGCTGCAAATAAGGCCTCTTACAACCTTCCCACTTAATATTTGAAATGGAAACCGGAGTATTTTCTCAGTGCCCATGGAATCCCTTACATTATTTTATTTTCCGGATGCAATACAAATAGTAAAGTCTCTAAAACAACTTTTTCAAGAAGATTCTGTAGGTAGTGGCTGCAGCACAGGAAGGGAGCAATGGCATCTAAGCAGAGGGAGCGAGAGGGAGAGAACATAGCTTACCCCTTAATGGAGATTGTCTGCCAGCGTTAGTTGTTCCTGTTCTTGCAAGGGATGCCAAGGGCTCCCTATGGACCCCAAGTTTTCTTGTCTTCCCAAGAAAAGGAGCTGCACAAATAAGGTGGAATTGGCAAAATTTTGCTAACGTGAAGGTAGGGTTCAGTTTTGCCATAAGGCTGCTGTTAATGAGGAACTTCTGATGCACCAACAGCATGCTCGTCTGGTTTCCGTCTTCATTACAGAGCTCTATAGGTACCATCACAATGTTTAATACCATCAGACCAAAGGCAAGCAGTGCATAGCAAGAAAGAAAAAGCGAGCACAGACCCTTTCTTTACATTTTTAAACAGGTCTTAGTGCTGTATTACAACTACCTTTTAATCCATTTTAATGATAGATACATAGAACATACGCTAGCTTGAGTTTAAGCAGCACAAGGTCACGCTCTCGTGCCGTGGTTAATCACTGGCATCACTTGATCTCTGGACAGTGCCATGTTTACATGCAGCCTTAACATCTGAGGGGAAAAAAAAAAGAGGGATAGGTTGAAAAATGAATCTGCCACTTTGACACGTTATTTTCCAGTTTCCTAGAGGAGGCAGAGCTGAATTTCTGGGCAAAGCCACTCTGGTCATCGTTACTGCATCATTTTTCCATGCTTTCTCCCTCCCAAGCTGTTTGACTAAAGCCTTCATAATCACTACAGACCCGATGATTTGGTTTTGGCACGCTGATTCCTGCACTTCTTGCTTTCCAAAGCAGAGGTCTTGGTTTTGTTTTTCCCCTTGCCGTTTCAGTTGCCTACAGCTGTGCGTGTAAATCCACTGCACATAAATCCAGGCTGACGGTAAACTTCCCAGTGAGTTTCCCGAAGGCCATTTCTCACAAGCTAAGAACTTGAAAAGGTCAGAAGTATTCAGTTTACTTTGCTGGAGGAAGCATTCACATCTTTCTCCAGGGGACAAAGGGACAGGATGACACCACGCTATTAACATGTTGTGATCTTAAAGCTCTTGCCTGGATGATAGCTGTAACTGATTTGCCACCTTACATATACCTCAGCTGTCAGACAGGCCCTGGGAGCACCGATCTGCCTGGGGAGTTGGTTGACTTACCTACACGCACACCCGCCAGAACTCTCTTTTTAATGAGTCTGGAAGTTACGTAGCCTTAGACAAACTAAAATCTGTCTTTCCTCCCACACCCCTGATTTTACTCATTCCTCATACAGTTTGACTGTTTGAAATCTACTGTAATTTGACCTAAAAATGTGAGTGAAATAATCTCCTGGGGAATGAGGTTTAACCCCGCCGCACTCAGCTGTGTGGAGGCGCCAGGTGCAGTTGCTCTGGGAGCAGGAGGTGGATGAATGCCAGAGTGAGAAGACGAACGGGTTCTTGGGGATCATCTAGGACAGGGCAACAGGTGGGATCCGGAGGAGGAGGAACAGGGATTCATTCAATGAGGTGTTTAATTCTTGCTGGAAAATGATGGGATAAACAATGCAAAGCTAGAAAAGACCCACAAGCACCTTCTAAGGTTTCTCATTTTGCCTGTCGAAGCAAATAGGTGGGCTGTTGCCATCTTAGCCATCGTGTTATCTCACCCCATGGTCCAGTAGGTGCGATACGGGACTATCGGATGCTGGAGTTGTTCTGTTCCTGACTGCGATACTGGCTGCTGCCTGAAACGTGGAGGGAGTCAGTCCCCCTCCCTCATTCTCTCTCCTACTGCCTGCCTGTTTTGTCTAAAGAATAAGCTTGGGGGGCAGGGGCTGTCTCTTCCCATCCACTTGCATACTGCGTAGCACAATGGGGTTGTGATTTCGGTGGGGCTTAGGGGTGCTGCTGTAATACTGTTACTGCTGCTAAATAATAATAGATGACATGGTGGTTAAATGCTGTTGGCTGTCAGTAAGAGATAACATTTAGCACTAATGTAGCAATATGCGTGTTCAAAGCACAGTATAAACATGGACTAATTAACGCCGTTAACATCAGATAGAGATGTTAAATGTACCGCTGGTATGATACAGTATTATTCACGCTCTATTCTTGTCTTTCAGACTTCAAACCCTATTGATGTAGCAGGTAGACCAGGCACAGTCCACCATACGCTGCTGCAGAAGACTCCAGGGGTAAACAACAATATATAGTCTTCCTTTCAGCTTATCTGGATTTGCAGTAAACACAATGATTGCTCATTAAAAAAAAAAAGAGAGCAGCTGGTGAGCAAATTGGCCTTCTAGACTCTGAATGTGCAGTCGGGGCAGAAGTTGCTTTTTCTGGTGAGACAACACTAGCCTTCACCAGTCATGAATACAAAGCGGTGCATTGACTTCTTCAAACCAAGTCAGAGGGAAATGGGGCAGGAAACCCCTTCAAGGTCTTTCCCTTAAGCATTGCTTGGAGAGTAGTTTTATGCGCTCCATTTCAGAACGATTATAAGGTTCAGAAAAGCGCTGGCACTGTTCAGTTGCTGGCATGAAACTGTTTTGTTTATCATAAAATTCTGCTGAGTTTGGTGCAAGGAATGAAAGAGAAGTTTTAAGCCCCCTTTAAGCCTTTTAGGTTTCCCGTGTCACAGGGGACTTCTCTGGAACATTGCTTTCTAAATCCTTTTTATTTGTTCAGAGGAAGGAAGTTTCCCACCTTTCTGTATATTGGCTAGTTTTAGAGAGGCTGATTGTTTTATTTCTGCTTTTTCCGTAGGTGTCAGACCCTTATAGGCCTCCAGTAAGAGTAAGTAAGGTTTGTGGGGGATTTTATATACATATATATACACACACACTTCAAGTATTGTGCATGTGTTCTTGAGATTTAACATGTCCAGTAGAAAATTTCACGCTCGTCCTTTATTTAAAGCAAAATGTCATAGTTAGCTCTTAGCTGCTTCTGATTAATAACATTTAGGTTGAATCCCAACTTTATTTTGCATCCATTTATGTGCATTAGTAGTTCACAGTATGAAATAAGGGTCACAGAAATAAATGTCTGTGAGCATGGACAGACACTCCCCAGTGATCAGATTCATGGTGGCTTAGGTCAGTGTGTTTTATTTGTGCTTCTGATGTTCCACAGAAACACCCTACAGTGAGTACTGCAGCTCAGCTGAAAAACAGTACCTCGTTCAGCTGTGGCACCGTTCATCCCTGGTGATTGTTTGTCCGTACCCTTTTCCTCCCCGAATGCGAGTAGCCGTAATAACCACACACGACGTAGCCTGCAGCGCAGCAGGGATGAGTGAGCAGGGCTCTTCTCAGAAAGAGAGCTGTTAACTATGAGCTGCTTTCTCTTAAGCGTGGCATGCTGTTCTTTGCTGCCTTTTAGTTTGCTCTATGAAGGGGGAGTGCAAGTAGGAAAGAACGAGGCAGGGATCTCAGGTCTCCATGAGATGAGGAAGATATCCCCCATTCTTCCTGTTTATTTCCTTCTTAATTTAAACATCATCTGCTGCAGTACAGGAAAAAACGGTGATCACCTATTGTGCCTTTTTAGCAACCAGCCTTCCTCATTACTTCGCTGCTTGTTTGACAGTAAGGGAAGTGAAATGTTCGATCTGATGTAGGTTGCTAACGTATACATTAATCTAAATTCTTGTGCTTTCCATTGCAGAAACCCGGGAAGTGGTGTGCGGTTCATGTGCAGATCGCCTGGCAGATCTACCATCACCAGCAAAAGATAAAGGTAATTCAGACAGTTTCTGGAACAAAGCCAAGTCTTTTGGCTTACAAATTATATTTTAGTGAGTAATGAGCAGGAAGCAGTTACTGTTGGTTATTCTCAAGCTTGTCTGTATTGATTAACTAACGCTTTCAGTCCTTTAACATTTATTGTAGCAACTGTAAAGTTGATTCGAGGGCAGAGGAGGTGGGTTGAAGGGTAGCAAAATCAGCAGCAGATACGAAGTGCACTGCCAGAAAGAAGAAAGGGAGGAGGAGGGTAATTTTGTCCCACATCCATCTTTTTTACGGAGCATACATGTTTAATGTCATTTCCCTTCTGCCATTTCCCTCCTGTGGAATGTGGAGTGTTACCCCGTTCATAATGACATGACCAGTACGGTGAAGAACATGCTACAAAAGAGAGCAGGCGAGGAGGCTGAGGGTTGCTGTGTTAGCAGCTGTTGGGCTTTCTGCGCTGCAGTGCTGATGGGCGGAGGCAGAGGGGTAAAACTCAAGAGGTAACGAGATGTAGGTACGCTGGGGTGCTGTGGCAGGCAGAGGAGCTGATAGTGGGACTTCTGCAACGTTTTATTTTTTCACAGCTCCTGCTGTAGTTTTCTTGTCCCGTTAATGAAGGCTATTCGGTGCTTAAGTATGCACACTGTAATTAGAGCCTCTGCAAGTGGTGTATGTCCATTTTTTTAATAAGCAAGTGTATCATCTCTAAGCTGTTGAGAATTATATGACTTAAGTGCAGTTCTGACCATGCTCACTTCTAAAGGGGAAGGATAAAAATAGCCTCTGGAGGAGCCTCATAGTTTTCTTTATCCTTCGCCCCTTGCCTGCATACTGAGCTACACTAGCTGCAGGAAGGGCATAGTCTGGGAACATCTTTCTCTTTCCATCCTGGAGAAGCAAACCAGATGAGTCTGTCACCCAGCTCTCAAGACTTCTGTCAGCAGCTTTCCGCCCGCAGAATATTTTTTGTCAGGCCGAGAGCACGGACTGATGCTGGGGTGCAGCGCGCTCAGTGTATCGCATTGCACCACCGCTGTGTGTGCTGGGGGGCTGAGCGCTGGCTTCAGACCTCATTCGTGTGGATGAGGCGGGCAGCTGAGAGGCTGTGGAGCGAAATGGCCTTACAGATGCTGTCAGAGCATGGCTGCGGTACGTGACCAGAGACGCTGCTGTCACTCTCGCTAACTCTCCCTGGCAGGGCGAAGCAGGAGTACGCCTGAACTCCCTCTCTCTTTCTCCCATAAAGAAAAGGAAGTGTGTAATGAGATTGTTTTTATATCATTTGACAGCAAATGCAGCTGGATCCCCACAAGCTAGAGATAGGTGGTAAACTTGACCTGTTCAGCAGACCTCCCGCCCCTGGCGTGTTTCCAGGCTTCCATTATCCGCAGGATCTTGCCAGACCTCTGTTTTCTACCACAGGTAAGGGAAGGTCATCATTTGTTGCAAAAAAAAACTGTCAGTGTATGTAATGTATGTGTCTCTAGCTGCATATGCCTCAAAAATGGAAGCAGGCAAGATGGTTCATTGGGGTGTGGAGGCACGGGCAGCTGCTGTGACCTGGGCTTTCGGAGCCGTGGGGCTGGGCTGGGCTCTGCCACCGCCTCCAGCGCAGGGTCCTCTGCACGTCACCGAGCTGCAGCAGTTGGCTCTTACGTTCCTGTCTGTGCAGCTGGGTCTTACGTGTCCTGATTAGTAGGCTGTAGAGTGATCTAAAAAGGCAATTTTGACAAAACACTTGAAAATGTTTCCATTGCACAGGAAGTGGCCTCGGTCTCTTTCTTGCCTTTATATGTGCCATGCTATTCACCTCAGCTCCTCCACTCACCAAGTTTCTGTTTGTTTTCTCAAAACAAGGATATTTTGTAAAAGGAAGACTTCAATGACAGCATTGAAAATATCACAGAAGGTGTATGGGTGAAGTGCTTGGCTTTCAAATATAAAGTGCCCCGGTGTGTTATGCAGTCCAGCAATCTCTAAGGCTTAAAATGCATATTGAATTAAAAAAGAAACAAAAGAATTAAATACAGTTTACATTGATCAATGACTTTCCAATCTGTTGAAGAAGTAATTCCAATTAATGCAATTACCGAGGTGCAGTAGCGCTCTGTTCTTGCTGGCTCTGACCGTGGGAGACTGTGACTCTGACATTCTGGTTTGGGAGGTCTCTGGGAGTAGTCTTGTTGATTTCCATCTACCCAGTGTTGGGTTTGTCCTCTTCCCAGGGCTTAACTTTCCCCCTAGACTTCTTCAGATTTTCTCTCTGTTGTTTCAGATGCCAAAGTCTGCCTTCTGTATGTTAGTACTTGGCAACTAATGTGATTTCCTGTCCCAACTTTACCCTGGTTTTATGACACGATATTGCGCACTCATTCAGACTCGGTGCAGACATGGTCATATTCAGCCTCGGTTCAACCCTGTTGAGATGGATAAGGTTAGAACTGATACGAATTTTGTCCCAAACATGACAGAAAAGCAACAGAGGAGAATCAAGCTGAATCCTCTGTGAGAACTGGGTTTCCACTGCAGATGTCGGATAGCCTTCAGGAGCTCCAGCGGTGGTTCAGTTTGTCTTTACGCCCTTACCTGTCCATGGAAGTTCTTAACCATCAAATGCATGTTTCCACCACATACAATCACTGCCGATAGCAGCTGTACCTTGTAGGATGCTACCCTGTATTTTGGTCTCTGTAAAGCTACGTGGATAGTACAGGGCCAAGATATTTGTTGCACCTGCTTGCATCCATAAGCACAGCAGATTTACAAACCTCTGACTCTTTTCCTGCGGCGGCTGTTGCCTTATCGCTGTCTTCAGTCTGTCCTGTGTTGTCGTCACAAGGATCTCGTTTCGTGTATGGTTTTGCTGCTGAAGGCTGTACCGGGGCGTGTACCTGAACAGGCAGAGAGGCACCAGTCCAGTTGGTATCTTGAGCTTTTTCTCTTAAAGATGCAAGCGTGGCTTGCTTCTCCATTCATAAAAGCAAAAAGGGAAATAGTATGGAATAGGTACATTAAAGAAAGAAAATTAATAGAAAACTTTCACTGGAGATAAACAACCAACAGCAACTTGTCTGTGAGTATATTAATCACAAGAGCCATCACACGGTAAATCTAGGTAAAGAGTGCTATCAAAGTGAGCAAACATTGCAGCAGTAATATATAGATGAATAAATCTTTTACTCTGCAATATCCGAGGCATTCTTTTCACCTTATCGAACAAGCGTGCAGTTGATGTGAATCATTGGTTCTGCTGCATTGCCTGGTTACTGTGGGAGACATAAGTTATCTTAGGGCCACCTGTCTTCAGGACGGATGTTCAGCTGCCTGGCAGACACTATATTTAATAACTACCTGACAGCCTGCAATGCCGCTCCTGGCTTTCTCCAGAGGATTTTTTATTATCAGCCCATGTAGTTGAGTTTGTAAGCCGTCTCCTTTGAAGAAATCTCCCATCCATTATACACCTTCTGAAATCTTAAAGGATTAGAAAGATGACAGTCTCCATCCGTCTTGAAGCATTGAAGCAGTCAGAATGTTTATAGATAACTCCAGGTCTCGTTGCTGTGGTCTCTCTTAAGTTTCCTCAACTTATTTTCTGGCTGCTTAGGTTTGTGGTGCCCAAGCGGGTGAGGGACACGCAGCGCTGTCTCCCTCTCTGCTTTTATAGTCTGCTCGTGTTCTGGACACGAGTGCACTTTACAACGGCCGTCTGTCGTCAGGCTCTGTCACCAAGGAAGACCAGGTCAGGGACTGTTCAGGATGCAGTTTCTCTGTGCATATTGATTTCTTCCCTCCATTTTCGCTGTGACCTTCCATAGTGTTATCAGCACTGACGATGCATGGTGGAAACGTGCATTTGATGTGGCTTGGAGATGAGGGGCAGGAACTTACCAGGGCAGGTCTGCCACTGGTGGGAGTCATTCGTATGGGCCACAAGGCAGAAGTCTTTGTGGTGAAGGTGACAGGAGAGCTGCAGTGGCAGGTGGGAGGAGAAGGATCCTAATCCTCTTTTCTATAATGGAAAGTTATCACTGGAGAAAGCAGTGACTGGGTAAGGGAGCTGTTAGTGAAAAGCCCATGTTCATGCCCAGTATGGCTGCTGGTATTTCCTAGAGTTGACCTGTTATTCTTCCCGTTATTAAGGGAAATTAACCTCTTACCAACAAAATACATGAGACAAGAGCAGTGAAAAGCTTTATTTATGTGTTGGCCTGTTTTGCGCATGACTTAACATGTCCTCGGGGAAGTGCTGCTTCTGTCACTGTGTGGAATTACTAGTGTCTCGCAGAACGAGGCAGTTAATGCACAGGTATGGCAGGTCTTGCTTTCTGCAAGGGAGGGAGAAGCTGTGTTTGCATCCAGGCAGCATCTGAAAGTTATGGTAGCTGCTAATTCCGCTTTGTCTGCAGTAGTGGAAGTACTTGTCTTGTCTGCGTGATACGGGAGCCACAGAAACATTTTGGGACACACATCTGAAACATAAATATTCAAAAGTTGATTTCAGGTGCATCCCTAAAATTGTCTGTACTAATCTTAGGGAGCGAAAGCCAGGCCCATGAGATTGCCCAAGCACACTGTTGTTCGCAGGACACATGGGAGTCAGTGTTCCTCCACAAACCATGTGTCCCCGAGGCAAGTGACCCCAGTGCTTTTCCCACTGCGGTTACAAGCCCGTTCAGGTTGGTATGTGTCTGCCTGCAAAGGAAGCAAATCTCTCATTTTCTGCTCTGAAAGGAGAGCAGAATTTTCCGCATGAGCCTGGTCCACCTTGAAATACAGGGCAGACCAGCTTGTTCCAGTCCATTCTTGCCCCTTGCCCCAACCTAATGTGATGCTCAGCAGTGATGTTCCTTTCCCACGAGGTAGTGTGGCACCGTGGCGATGAGCAGTGTCTAGGAAGGGGGGAAAAAATTCCGCGGGGGAGCCTGTGGATGGAGAGACAGATGTGAGAGCGTAGATGGAGCTCCCATGGGAGAGGCATGATTGATGTTCCCTGCGTGTCTGTCATTAACTGGTGTTTCATATAGACTCTAATCAGTCACTTCCGAGCGCCTTCTGTCTGGGCCTGTAACCTGGGCTGACCCTCTTTAATGTAAACACAGAATAATGACTGAAATGCCAGACAAAGAGATTCATTTCCTCGTTACTACAGGTGAGCGGCAGCACTCGGGGCGAGGTCTCCTCCTGCCTCCTAGTGCCCGCAGACTCCTTCAAAGGGCACCTGGAGAAATCCCACCTGTAGCTCGCTCAGCTCGTGGTTGGGGTCTTCCCCTGCCTTCGCTATGTTTAAATCTGGTTCATGCCTTTGCATCTGTTTCTGGAATGTGATGGCAGGACCTCTGTGTATGCAAGCAGTCACCTGCCACTGAACTGAAAAGGGACCTTGTTCTCACAGGTGCGACACATCCAGCCACCACCCCGTTTGGTCCTTCACCTCACCACAGCAGTTTCCTGCCCACTAACCACTTGGCAGGTAAGTGTAAGTAAGCCCTGCCCTCACCTTTCTGCCTCTGACCCATCCCGGGCTCGCTAGTGTGGTCCTGCCTTGAGGCTCCATAGCACTAGGGGAGGGAGAGGCTTAAACTGTCCCAGGAACCAGAAGCTAGCCAGCTTCTCACCCACCCAGCTTCCCAGCACATCCCCTCTGCTCTCCTGCCCCATCCCTGGAAGTGTCCAAGGCCAGGCTGGATGAGGCTTGGAGCAACCTGGTCTAGTGGAAGGTGTCCCTGGCCATGGCAGGGGGGTTGGAACTGGATGGGCTTTAAGGTCCCTTCCAACCCAAACCGTTTGATGACTGTATGCTTCCTCCGAAGGAGCGGGGCAGGATGCGCAGACCCTCTCCTGCAGGAGATGAGGGCACTGCAGAGCAGGCAGGTCTGTCGCTGCTGGGACAGTGCACAGGAGCTGAAATGTCACCTGTAGAGCCTTTCTGTGCTGCTCAGTGTGCCCAGAAAAATGGGGGAAATTTATGCCAAGGTACCTCAGACAAGCCACAGCTTAAAACGGGTTCGTCCCATACTGTTTCCCACCTGTGAAAGTCCTTGGCTAGGTTCTGTATTAAGTTCAGCGAGCAGTTCCTGGCAAATAGCTGTTCTGCACATTGTGCCAGCCTTTCCGTTTCCTAATTGGCAGTAAGTAGAGCCGGATTTTCTCAAATTTCCTCATTTTATAAACCCACAAGCAGCTCATTGCCAATTAATGTTCAAGCTCTGTTGATTAATGTTTTAGTAACACTCATCCAGTCAGAAAATGTGGCATGGCACATGACCTAGTAGACTTTTTTTTTTGTTACAAAAACCCAGATTTACATCAATTCCCGAACATTCTGTCAAAATTAACTTACCTCTACAGAGTCACTCCACTACTTCTATCGAAGGGGAAGGGCAAGAACAGCTATTTAAAAATAAGGAAATAAGCAAATAGCTGTTTGCTTAAAGATCCAAGCTATTTGTGCTGCTTGCCTTGGTATTTTAAATATAAGGATATCTGTGAGGAAGTGGAGACATGTAACATGGCAAGTTAAAGACTTTAAAGGGACAGTCAAAAAGCCAGTGAGGGTAAAGAGCTGTTTAGAGATGACCAGTAGGAAGGAAAAGAAGTACACTGGTAGGATTTAGCCCATAGCCATCTCTGAAGTGCAGGATCCTGAGTCAGGCTCTGTCTGCTCAGAGAGGAGCCTCTGCTGATGACGGGTGCCGTTAATTAAAAAAGAAAGGCAGGATTTATAGAAGACAAGTGCCAATAGCCACATAGTCAGACACTTAACTAGGAAAGGCAAGATTCATCTTTTGCCTGGAAGGGTACAAACCTCCCATCCCTTTGTTGTAGTAGCTCTTAAGGCTGTGCTGCCACTTCACCACCACCGGAGCCAAGGACGCTACTGTGGGAGAGGGTTTTAGCACAAGCAGGCCGATGTCCGTCGGTGTAAGGGCGGATGTCGGTAGCACTTAGCTGAGGGCTGTCTCTGCACTATTACAAAGAGGGTAGAATGTTGCATACGGCAACGAGCGAGGGATGCAGCCCCTCAGCATGCTCCCCGAGGAGCCTGCTGAGGCTCTTCGTCCAAGGCAATTGCAATGCTTCTACTAGTAGTACTGATACAGGAGAGTTACAGCTCAGCAGCAGCCACCCTAATTTCAGGTATTAGACCTTAATTTCTAGCTCCCCTCTGACTGGCATACAAAAGTTTATTACAGCACCTGTTTGCAGAGTGAGCACTGAATCCCTTCTCCATTTTAACATGATGGGAATTTTCTGTGCAAAGAACCTTGCAATGAGAAGGATCAGCTTAAAGTCTGGCCTAATCCTACTTGGATTCAGACCGTTAAGAAGGGGAGGGGTGCGTTTCATTCTCCAACATTCTTGGCTAAATGCCTGCTAAATCCCTGTTTGCCTTTCCAGATCCATTTAGCAGGTCAAGCACCTTCAGCGGCCTTGGGAACTTAGGCAGCAATGCCTTTGGAGGATTAGGCAGTCATGCTCTGAGTAAGTACTGGCTGGGTTACTGCAGACAAACATCCCTTCCAGAAAAGCCACATGCTAATATTTACAGCAGCTGGTGGTAGTTTTTAAAGAAGTTTAATTCCTAACCTCCATTCTCCTATCTGAAAACACTGCACCTAAGATTTCCAGGTCTCTGCGGTGGGAGCTTTTCTGCATGTCACAGACATCACTAGCTGTGCTCTGTGCCTCCTCGCTGCTGAAGGTTGGTACCTTGTGTGCTTTAGGGGTGCTTGAGCTGCAAGACCCCACTGAGCTCTGGGACCCCATGGGCATCTAAAGTAACACCCTTCAACGGCGAAGATGCATCGTGGAACAGCTATTGATACTTCTCCTAATTCAGCGTGTAGACTTCCTCTGTAACCGCGGTCTGAAGTTTGAATTACCTGTCTAAAACGATTTTACTTCAAAAACATGTTACCTGTAGGCAAGACATGCTTGAGAGCCACACATAAAAGAGCATGCTTTTGCATCTCATGGAGCAACAGGAATCAGCTGAAGATTGATGGAGGAAATCAAGTGACTGTTCTGAAAAGCCTACAGCCAAGCTCTGTTCTTACACACACACACACGCTACCAAATAGTCTGGTTTCTTTAACAGAAAGTCCCTGAATCCTCAGCTGCAGGCAGCTGATTGCTTGTAACTACCCACAGATTAAAGTTTCTGCCAGTGAGAGGAGCTGAGGAAAAATATTGCTTTTGTGCTGGAACCTGTGCTGGGGTGGGGGGAGAAGAGGAGCTGGGCATTTTCAGTCATCTCTGAGTTACTCAGATGTATAGTTAGCGCTTCCTCCACCAACAGCCTTAAAAGTGCTGGTGGATCTTACACCCAGTGTTGGAGGTGTCTGTGTCCACCTGCGAGTAGCTCCCCCTCACCATTAGCTCCACACTGAACAGTCTTGAAAGGACAGTTCTGGTTGTGATTAGCATTGTGAAAAATGTGTATGTGATTATTTGGTGTGAATTATTTTTAACTCTTCCTCCCCCTGCTGTTATTCTAGCTCACAACAACATTTTTACTCACAAAGATGGCCCAAACCTGCAGAATTTCAATAACCCCCACGAGCCATGGAATAGACTCCATCGGACCCCACCGTCCTTCCCAACACCTCCGCAGTGGCCCAAGCCCACCGATTCTGAGCGAAGCTCCTCAGTGACAAACCATGACAGAGACAGAGAGCGGGAGCGAGAGCCCGAGAAGAGGGATCTTTCTCTGAGTAAAGACGACAGAGACAAGGAGAGGTGAGCAGGCTGTGCTTTTGAGCACTTCCTTCTGGGCCTATTTTTCCTCTATATTTTATCTCATTTTCCCGATCATAAAATAATCTTTATGGCAAAATATTTCTTGCCTTTGAGGCAGCTGATAGACGTCTCCCTCAGATAATCACAGGTACTAGCCACACAAAAAAACCCAACCTCCTTGCCTTTTAGGATTTGTCCTCTGGATGGTAAGCCGGTCCCTGCTAGTAGGTTAATAAAAAGCACCAGGCTGAGGAAATGAGCATGTCGCTGTGTTTTCAGGGTACACTTGGCTGTTTTCAACGCAACTGCTTTAGGATTGCTGCATGTTCTGAAATCGCGAAGGTGGCATTGTGATGGGTCCTTTGGAGACAGTCACAGTGCTCATTAATGTACAGATATGCTGATGAATTCAAACATTAGCTGGACATTAACGAGATAAAAATGCAAATGCCTGTATCTGGAGCAGTGTGCCTGAATCCATTAGCAAACCCGATTTTAAAAAATCGCCTTGTAGACAAACCCGTATTAACGGTGACAGGGCTTGTATCACCTGGGCGATAGGTACTTCATTAGCTTCCAGTTGTAGGATTTTGAAGCTGTAAAGCCCTTTATGTTTCAGAGCCCGGTGGTCTCCAACAGGCTACGTCTTTGTAGGCCGTAGCAGCCTGGAAGCCTTAGATGTGTGTATTTGACTAGTGATAGGGGGTTCATAGTTTGCCTGGAGTGCTTTTAATGAGCTCTTCAGGCAGTGCCTGTGAACAAGATTATGTGGAAGCAATAGGCTGAAAATCATCTCTCTTTAAATGTTAAATTGTCTGACACCCTTGCGTGGATAGTCATTCAGATGGAAGCTCCCTCCTTGGCTTTAGCGTAATTCATTTGCAAACCAAGGTTACTTTACTCTCCAGAGCCTTCACACAGGGGTTAACGTCTCCATTACATTTCTATTAATTCAGCTTAAGCTGTCCCCAGCATCCCTGCTCGGGCATGGGTTTAATAAACCACATCCTTGACCAGCAATCAGGGCTGCCGCAGAGGAAGAAATCTGGGTTAGCAAATGTAATCATAAGGGATAAATACAGAACTCCCCAGAACACCTCCAGCTTTCAGCACTCAGGTCTTGCAGCTCTTGAAAGCAAACCTGGCGTAAAATTCAGGCGTCAGTAAGCCTCTCCCCTGCGTAATGCAGTTCTCCATCCCACCATCATGCTTTGCATTTAAAGTGTCTCTCATTCCCAGCAGAGTGCTTTTGGAAGGTGAGCATTGCTTACGCCCCTCGTTGAGGGGTGGGAGTAACCCTGACTGACTGGCTTGCTCAGGGGTAGAGGTGCAGTTAGAACCGTAAACCCCATTCTCATGACCTTGTCAGCAGACCCCTTGTTCCTCACAGCAGATCCTCTTGAAACGGAGGTCGGTCACTTAGTTTCATGGCCCATTCAGGGAGGTTTTTCCTTAAGCACCTTGCATACCTGCCAACGCTGCCACCAACAAACACCCTCCCGCAGCTCCTTAGGAGAATGGGCATCGTTATGGCTGCTCCCGGTCAACCCCGCTGTCCTGTCGAGGACCTGCGTCCATTCCTGTAGGCTTCTGGTTGGTACCTCTGCATCCATATTTTAGGAAAGGAACCTGAAGTAAGACTGTTACAGCCAGGAAAATCATTGTCTGGCAGAAGGATGTCTGTGTAAACACACAGTAAGAGTCTTTTTTAAAAAAAAAAAAAGCTGTATAGAATTATTCTTAAAAAAAATTTCTCAGTGAAGTGACCATTCTTTTAAGGTAAATACACTGTTTTTTCAAATGCATCCCCAATTTAGTCCCCAACTTTGCGGACATTCAGCGTTTTTCTGTATAGTCTGTGAAGGAAGGTGGCACGTCTCCTGTAGAGTCGCATCACAGCTATAGCTGGTGCTAGCAGAGCTTTTCAGGTGCTTTCTGAGCCTCCTGGAATTACACAGCTGGACACGGCACCGTGCATGTCCAGCATCGCATATGTGTTTGGTCACACAAAACCAAGCATGTCCCTTCTCTCTTTTTACAGAGACCTCATGGATAAAAACAGACATTCAAACAGATCCTCCCCGGCATCGGCTCCAGTGACACATCAGATAAGCAATCTCATCCGCAGCAACAGCCAGACCTCCAGCGATCCCATCCGGCAGGTCAGCCTCGGGGAAAGGGAAAGGTCCAAAGAACCCGAGCGAGAGCACCCTGACCGGCTGAGAGAGCCGCCCATCGCAGAACACAAGATTAAGGAGAGCCGTTCTCCGGTGAAGGAAACGCCAAGCCATGATAAGAGACCCCCTGAGGACAACACCAAGCCAGTAATCCAGTCCGTATCCCCGTACAGCAAACCTGCACTAAGTGAGAGCTTGAAGCTTACCAACCTGATGAGCAAGGACATGGAGAGAAAGACAGAGCTTCCCAGCGATCTCCAGAAGATTAAGAATGACATCAAAGTCAAGGAGGAGAGGAAGGAAGACAGTGATGTGCTGGTGGTAGGGTCTGAGCCGTCGCAGCACTCCCGATCAGTGGAGCATCCCCCACCGCCCACTTTGCATGGATTATCATTGCCTCACTCGATGGCTGCCTCCATGCCCCTCTCCATGGGCAGCGTGCACCAGATGAACAACATGAATGTGCTGGACCGCAGCAGGATGATGACCCCGCTCATAGGCATGAATCCTTTGTCAGGTAGAGAGAGGCTGCCACATCCCGGATTTTCTTGGGACCCCATGAGGGACCCATTGCGAGATGCCTACCGGAGCTTAGACCTGCACCGTCGAATGGACTTCCAGCTCCGAACGGATCCCATCCATAGGTTCCCTACCACCTCTGGATTTTACGACCACGAGCGTTCTTATAGAGACAGGGAGCCACACGACTATAACCACGAGAACCTTCTTGAAGCCCGCCGAGAGCAGGAGCGGTTGCGGCAAGTGGAGGAAAGAGAGCGCTTGCACTTACGGGAAGAACTTGAGCGTGCCAGAATGCACCACTTGCACTCGTCCCCCATCGAAAGTCACCTGGCACACGTGCCATCCTTCATGCCTCATCTAAGCGGGATGCATTACCCCAGACTGAGTCCATCCACTGCCATGCACAACGGGATCTTGAACAGGAACCCGCCAACTGCAGCGCTGAGCGCCCCACCGCCCCTCGTACCCGCGAGCAGCACCAGACCTGCCTCCCCACGCAGGACTACTCCACTCACAAACTCAGAGTCCAGGGACTATTCCCCCTCTAGGAACCCCAAAGAAGTAGAGGCACGATAGTCCCCAACATTGAATTTTAAACTTGCCTGTACATAAAACAACCAACCAACAACGACAAAAAAATAACAAACAGGAAAACAGAAAAAAAAAAGAAACAAAAAACAAACCTTTTACAAAATGCACTGCTGTAAACTTTTTTTTTTTAATGTAAAATTTGTAGAAGTTAAGCACATTTCCATAAATAACGGGGTCGGGGATGCAGACTTTCCAACAAGAAGGTTGCTGAGAATGGGAATTTAATATATAGGTATTGATTTTTGGTTTTGGTTTTTGTTTCTGTGCTAAAAAAAAAAAAAAAGTTAAAAATATCAAGTTTGTACATTTTTTCCCAAATGTGAGAAGCATTTTTAATGGATTTGTATTTTTTTTAATTTTGTGCTCTTTATTCACTTAAAAAAAAGAAGAAATTTTGCTTTTGTTTTTAGTTAAATTTGCATTTTAAAGGCCTCAGATCCTTAAGAAAAAAATACCCAGGGTTTCTTAAAAGTATTATTTATGGAAATACTGTAGTTTTACAGTCCACTGTGAGGTTCCCTTCTGAGGCCAATTGATCACTTACCTTGGTACTTTGGAACCGAAGTTACAGATATATATTAAAATATTAATAATAATAATAATGTACAAAACTGTTTGTTTTTTGCCTTATTATATTATGCAGAAATTTAAGAGGAATTTTTTTTGACTTCTTGTTTTAAACAAAAAAAAAAGAAAACAAACTGTAAATATTCTGTTAATATAAATGTACACCAATATTAAATTCTTAACATAGGTAGACTTTATAAAAATGGTTTCTAGAACCACTCTGGTTATTTGTTAACATGGTTACAACTCATACTCTTGTCACAGTCAGCAATTCACACTCAGAAAGCTCAGTACGGCATATTTACTTCAACTATGCAAGAACTTGGAGGCAGGTCTTAGTGGATGTTGGGGGGAGGAAGGTTAAAAAAAAAGCAAACAAACAAAAAAACACAAAACAAACAAAAAAAACCAACCCAAAAACAACCAACTCGCAACTCTGGAGACAGAATGGAAATGGCATGGGAACGGGAAGAAGGATGCTTGTGTTGAACAAAAAAAAAAATAGAGACTGAATTTTTTTGTCCAAACACAAGGGACAGTTCATCAAGGAAAGAGAGAGACACGCTCCTGGAAGGGAATTTGGGTTTCCTACTTTTCAAGCTGGCAAAAGCAGATGGAACTGGCACAGTACCATGCGGCAGACCCTTTCCTTATTTTGTTTTTCCTTTTTTTTTTCTCTTTTTTTTGTGTTGTGGGCAGGATCGCTGGCAAGCAAGGACAATTTTCCGTGGACCCCTTGTGCTAATTGTGCAGTGTTCTTATTGGAATCTGTATACAAGACAAAGTAGAATTTTAGGAGTGCAAAAAAAAAGTCTAATGGTTGATTAAAAAAAAAAGAAATTCTGATATATTATCTATAGTACATGAAGACCATACGCAAATGTTTGTTTCAGTGTGGTTCTGCCTTGAACTGCTTTTTGGCATGATTTATTTTTTATTTCCGATTTTACGTTTCATCCATATGTAAATTTTGCCATGTTTTACTTGCTGTACCATCCCCCCTCCCTTATTTTATTTTTCAGTGTCCATGTTTTATATATCCTGGGCTTTTTCTCTCTAGTTAATTCAGCCATCCGCTACTATTTTCTTGGCTCTGTAACTCTTGTTTCCCCCCCCTCCCCATCCTCCCCCCT